CTTGGTATACATGTATGTATTGGGGGGAAATCAGTAGCTTAAAAGATTAAATTAACACAAAATACGAAATACCATCATGGGCGATATTTTGTCAAACAAAGGCATTTGGTTTTACGAAAATCCATAAATGCGTTATTTTATACAAACGCCACTGAACTATATTTACAAATTAAAACCTTTAAGCCGTTATACGGGGTGGAACCTCGAATAACATACATATATGTATACATTGAATAACATATACATATATATATACACAATCAGCTACAAAAGTACATTTATGTTTTAACATCAAAATTGAGGTCATTTTCAAAAGGCACCAATTCATACAAAGTTTTTAAAATGTGCTACATGTCTTATTAACTGTTATTCCTGCTTTAAAAAAAAACAATAACTTAGATTTTTTTCCGAGAATATCTAAAAAGTTTCACCGAAACAAGTCCATTCGGTATACGTAGTCAAAGAATACTCAAAACAAATTTTCGTTGCTTTGGATTTTAGTGGTCTTTCACACTTTTCTTTTTTTTTTAAAAAAAAAATATTCTGCTCAACCGTCCAGAAGGCTTTACATGTGACCTGAAGACAGGTTTCTAAAAATATTTTGGCAGGATGAATCTTGACCCGGGGCTGGAAGTTGTCTGCGTAAAGTTCGCCAGAGAGCTGGGCGCGCTTGTAGGCTACCGTATGTTTTGTTTCCTCAAAATACGCATAAGCTGCGTTGATGCAAGCTTGTAAAAGTAACCAGAGTCCAATGTAAAATTCCTTTTCCTTTCAGGTGTTCTCGATGTCAGTGTTATTAAGTCGTTAATATATGGCTCCGGCGCTCACCGCAGAGCCGTGATGGTGCTGTAATAAAGAGTTGGGCTGTAGATGCGATGCAGAGTTCGAGGATGGGTACCAAGAATAGTTTGCTAAGAAAGAAGGGGCGGTTGTGTTTGGGGGGCTGTTGCCTTGAGACAAGCCGGAGTTGACAGTGTTCATTCTTTGATTCTGGGGGAAGTCCCAGGTAACGGAGGCCGGCGGAGAACTGGAGGGGGGAGACTCGCTGGACGCCGCATGCTGCTCCGGAGGGATCTCGCCACTTTTCCACAACTTTTTGAACTTGGAACGTCGGTTCTGAAACCAGATTTTCACCTGTCAAGGAAAACAGCACACCGCTCGTTATGACCTGGGATCTCACTGGCCTTTCTGCGTTCACGATTCGCACTGCACTGTTTAAAAAATACATACTACCCAACGTGCTTAATCTTCGAAGGAGTACAATACGGTACTTTAAAAATAAAAATAAAAATAGTCCTAGCTCCAATTATTTAATGCACTGCACATTAACTTGATGGTGTCACAAACTTAAAATGAGGCCATTTAATTGAGACCTGGCACTGCTGACTGTATCACCAAGTTGGGGCCAGAAACATAATACAGCATCGTAAACACTAAACTGTTCAGCAGTCATAAGTCACTCAGTCAAGATCCATTAGCTCAAGCATTTTTTTTCCCTCTGTGGCCCTTACCTGAGTTTGTGTAAGGCCTAAAGAAGCCGCGAGCTCGGCTCTTTCAGGTAAAGCCAAGTACTGTGTCTTTTGGAAACGTCTCTGAAGAGCTGCCAGTTGGAAACTCGAGTAAATCGTTCGAGGTTTCCTGACTTTCTTTGGCTTCCCGTTCACCATTCTAATTTCTGGTTCACATTCTTCCTTCTCTAAATAAAAAGAAGAGAACACGTTAACACGAGCGCACAGTTGAGATGCTTAAACGATTCATTATGTTTTCGGACATGTATTTTATTCGAGACCGCACTGTTGTAGACGGGCAACAAACTGATCTCCATTAAACCGCGTTCTGTTGTTGAAAAATGTTACATAAAAAAGCATAACAAAAACACACAGCAAAACTAAATATTAATGGTACGTTAATAAGCAATTTACCCGACAGTTCTTATTTCTATTATGATTGCGGTCTAACGCAAACGTATGGAACTGCATGCGATAGCCGACGAAGTTTTTATTTACCTGCATCCGTATGGGTTGGCGACGAACTGGAACCATATGGACCGTACGAACTGTAAGAGCTGCTGAACCCAATTTCGTAAGATTTGGTGTTGTACGGGACATTGCTCATGCTATTTGCGTGGTACTGGTACTGTCCATAGGGAGACCCTGCACAGTGTCCAGACTGCTGGTTGTTGTAGTAGCTGCTGTCCGTAGCCGTCGATACAGGTAAGGTTGGAGACTCCTGGGATTTGTGCATGCTGTGGTAACTGTTCGAGGTAATCTGGTTCGAATGCATATCTGCAGCTAGACTGTCAAAAACTCCAGTCATCGTATTACAGAAGCCAGAAAAAAAAATAGGTATACCTGCTTCAATACGCAACGAATAGTTGAAACAAGGGAGGGACTGCAATGATCTAAGAAAAGCAGAACAAAATGGAAATTAATAAAGGTCGGCCGGTGGTTTTGACAACATCCCCATGCTAGGTTACGAGACGAACTGAGCAGTGACTCTAACCAGGACCTCTGATTGTCTGATGCCAACGATGCTGGCGGGCGGGCATTTATCCAGTGTCACGTGAGAGGCCGAGCCAGCCCGCACTCCGCAGCCAATGAGTAACAACTGTTGAGGGGAACACGTATTGCAGGTTAGGTAGTGTACAGAGCAACGTCGCCACAATGTTTCTTCGATTTCATGTATATTATATTTATTTTATTTTGATACAGTGACAGGTTTATATATGCGCAGCAACTCAACCTCCAAGTTTTTGTTTTAAAAAAAGGTGCTTCTTCTTTGTCATCGTTCTCAAGCAAGAAAAAAAAAAGTATTTAAAATTCACGAACCAGTACATTCTTGGGGCTTTTAGAATTAGAGTTAGTAAACCTATTAAATGCTGTTTTTTTGGTCTGCATTCGGTAGGACAACACCGCAGTACTAAATGACGCGCTATACATCTCACTTAAAAATAAAAAATATCGGTAGGTTTGAGGAACAAAAAGTTTTAATGGAATAATTCGGGTCTGTTACGTTGCTAACTGTCTATAAATTTAATTGAAAAAGAGAACAGTTTACTTTGGTAAATGTTCTTACCGTTTTTTTTATCTTTTCATTAAGACATTTATCATTAGCTTAAAAAAATCCAGTATTGTTAGCTACATCTACAAGTAGTTTACAATGCTCTTCTAATTCTTACTAGGGTGATAGGTTTTACTCATTTAATGTTGAAACCTATTGTCAATGGCATTAAAGTCCACTAGTTTGCTTGCCCGTGTGCGAGTTGCAGCAGTTGTGTGGGGGGACTTTGGACAGGAATAGTTTTGCCTTACTGCGCCATCTGATGGTAGCTATTGTGTTCGCAGTTGTCTGTAGACAGACCGTAATCACAATAGGCGCCAGCCTTCTCCAACCCACAGGTGAGCAAAATAGCAATTAAAAACCGCAGAATTATGCCAGTGCTTACTGTCTGTGAATACCTACCTGAAGCTACCCTACTTTGTCCCACCAAATACTTGTTTCAACAGCAGTGTAATCCAAAACAAGTAACTCATGGAAAATATTTCTCTTGAAATTTCTGCCTAGTTATATATAGATATGGTTGTAAAGTCTAGGGAATTTTAGAGCATTTATGTGTGTGGGGGTTGTGCATATGTTATAAACAGGGTTTATATAAATATCTAGATATGAACCTCTCACAGCAGATACATATTACGACACAGGAACCTACTAGCTCAGCTGTTAGTGAATTTTATTTATTTTAAAATAATTTTCTATGTATCATTACTCTGCTTAAAAGTGGCTTCTTCAGTCTTTTAAATAATGAGATCAGACCTTAAATGACCACAAGTATGCAGGTATCTGAGTTTAATATCTTGTTCTAACAATGTTTCCCCAGCACAGTGACACAAATGGAATAATTCTGTTTCAAATCTCTATAGTGACACGTACCGATCCACCAACAATCTGATTTCTTTTAGGCCTATATACTGTAGCTTAGCTTCTGAGATCTAAAAAGATCACATTTCAAAGTGGTGTATCTGCTCACTAGCCTTGTTTATCCCAAAGAACAGTCTGGAAAAGCTACGTAACCAATTAAGAGAAGATCACTTTATTGGCCACGTACAGTTTCTTGTATTAGGAATTTGTCTTTTCACATACCCCAGCTTGCTCTCCATGAGATGCACAGACAGGGTGAGAACCTTGGGGTCAGAGCGCAGGGTCAGCCATTTATACAACACCCCTGGAGCAGTTGGGGTTAAAGGCCTTGCTCAGGGGCCCAACGGAGTAGGATTCCTCTGCTGGCTGCGGGATACGAACCTGCAACCTTCCAGCCACAGCCGCAGATCCTTAGCCACAGAGCCACCGCCCCGCCCCAGTTAATTCTGGAAGTGGAGTTGTCTCGAGTTTGCATAGCTACGCTACATGATGGACAAGTGTGCTTTGAAGACAACATTACCAATGCAGGGATTTACAGAGAAATATTAGAACAGCCAATTCAGTGTGATTCAGTGTGAACCCAGTAGTAAGGGAGATATACAGAACATGCACAACATAGTGACCATGGTGACCATAGTGAAATGAAGTTTAGAGGACGAAAATACTTTAACGATCCCAAACCAGACAGATCACATAGCAGATGTTTAGAGTAAGGCTGTAAGGCAAAGCAAAACATCTGACACATCATAGATGTCTCAGTGTTCAAGAAATCTACTTTGAAACAGTACTTTCAGTGTCAAACTTTCAGTATCTCTACAAAGTAGCTGAATACCTTTAAAATATTAGACAACATGGGACACCATCCAGTTGAACAACGAGCATTACACATAGCCTTAAAGGCATAATGTTTATAGCAGAATCATTCATTAATTCCTTGTCCCCACTCTTTATGTTTTTGTACAACTTTAAATGTGAAAGGAGAGACACATCATCACAGCTAGTCATCAATGTCTGCAAATATCCATCCATTCATTTTCTAACCACCTCTTCCTGAATCGGGATCGAAGAGGAGCTGGAGCCAATCCCAACAAACTGCGGGCCCAAGGCAGAGTACATCCAGGACAGGACACCAGTCCATCGCAGGGCACACACACTCACACCAGGGCCACTTTTCCCAGAAGTCAATTAACCGACCAGTGGGTTTTTGGCCTGTGGGAGGAAACTGGAGCACACGGACACAGGAAGAACATGCAAGCTCCACACAGATAGGACCCCAGGCCTGGAACTGAACCCAAGGACCCGAGCAGTTTAAGGCAGCAATGCTAGCCACTGAGCTGCCATGCCACCCTGTCTACAAATCCACAGTCAAAAATCCAAAGAAAGACTTTCAAACCTCTGCATCATTCAGTGGCTTTTACTTCTTTCTATCTGCTGTTAGAAATGTTATTATCTTGGCGCCCCCCAGGTAACAGCTTTGGGATTGCCCAAGTGACACCCCACATTATACTTCAGCAGGAGCATTCTTGGCACAGGGTGAGTCCCAAAGGAAACAGGCATCACAAGGGTAGACTTAAACAGTGAGATCTAGAAAGACGTGCAAACCACTCATTAATCCAGCTTTGATATGGTGCAGCCTTAGCTCTAGCCTGAAGGTAAAAGTCTTGGTGTGGGAGAAGCAGACACCTAATGGAATGGTGTGCTTTCCAGTGAATACTTGTACAATTGTAAACAGCGTTTACCTTCCAAGTAGACAAAAGCCCTAATTTGATACTAGATCCTGTTCAAAGTCCCATCTCTAATAAATGATACTGACAGGGCGCACACAGTGTACACGAATACAAATAGACACTCACGCACGTACGCTTCATCTTTAGGTGAGTCCCAAATTGTCCACGTTTGGACTGAGAAGGCTCTGCGCTTGTCAGGCAGCCTCTGAGCATGTGGGTGTAATAATGTCCGGTCTTTCCGCATAGCTGAATTAGTGACCAAGACACGTTGAGTGTTTGCCTCACGCCTCTAAATTTGAGGCGGATTCCACGCAGCCCGTGTAGAGTGAGAGTGGACTCCTTCAAGTTTCTTGGCACAGTCACCTCACTGAAGTGGGCAGCTAACAAACACCAGCGTCGTCATGAAGAAAACAATGACTCTTTCCCGTCGAACTGTGAAGGAGAGCGTGGTCAGATTCTCGATAACAGTGTAGTGCGGCGATACAACTGCCCTAGAGCGGAAACAGCTGGGAAGAGCCAAACGCAGAGCCTCCAAGATCATCGGACGCGATCTCCCCTCTGTTGCTTCTATTTACGCCGGCTGCATCAAACTGAAAGCTAAGAAGGTGTTCACAGATGCTTCCCATTCAGACACTTTTCTATTTCTATTTTAAATTGCAACCTTCGGTTTCAAATCTTCTTATGTAGCCCTGATCGATTCCGAAATAGTGCCTATCTGCACCTCAGTAGGCAGATCTTGGATGTTTCATTGATTGAATAATATGTACTGTTTTCTTTTGTAAGTGTAATATGTGTTTTTTTTTGTTTTTGTGTAAATGTGCAATACATGATTTGTTGTTTTTGATGGTTTTTTTTTCTGGGCCGCACTTGAGCAAATTTCAATCACCTTTGTTGACATGGCAAGAAAGTATTGAATTGAACTGGGTGCTGGCGAAGATAGGTTGAAATTATTCGGTCAGAGGGCTCTCGGTTTTTAGCGACACAGCGACCCCTGCTGTTTCCACGGCGTTTGCAGACATGGGAACCTTTTCGGTAAGGGACGCAGCCGTCCTCCAATCAGCGTTGATAAAAAAAGACTAATAGATTGAAGTTAGGTGGGTGAATGGTTTCTGCCGAAATTCCTCGTTTTTCTCTCTGCTTCCGCCGCGTTCAGTCACAGTCCGATACAATTGATCAATATACAAGCGATCTAGATACAAATGGCTATCCCAAATCGTGTAGGTATAACCGGATAATAATAAAGAACTAAGTACTATGCATTGTTTCCGTTTTGCAGTAAAGGCTAACTTAATCGATCAACCCCTAAACAAAAAGACAAAGCAGAAAAATAAAATTCAGCCTTCAATGGGGGCTAGAGAATGCAAATATGAAATGAACTGCAGGATATATTCATTTGGAAGGAAAAATGAATTTTATTTTAGAAAGATAAATGTAGTGCATAAAACCATGCCTCTCTATGCAGAACCACTCACATCCCCAAGATCACAAGATGACTAATGGGTAAGGTACTTCAAAGATTTTTTGAAAGTCTTTTTTTTGTCTGTGTTTCATGAAGTGGTTTATAATTTAAGAGCAAGGGAAAATTCTGCCATAAAGACTTAAGCAAAAGATGAAAGGGCTACGTGTCTATAAAAATAACTCTCAGATTTCTATAAGGTGACATTAGTAATCTGAAATGATGAAACATTTAGGGATTTTTCCCTTTTTCCTCAAGCTCTTTGGAGAATTTCCAGAATAAAAATTAGTTTTCCAGTATAATTTACACAGATTAATAGTAACTGACCATTACACTGGATTCCATGATGGACCAATTCAATTTGAATTTGATTCCATTGGATTCCATGATGGACCAATT